GGGGCCGGGGGCGGGCGAGGGACGGGGCGCAAGCGAGTGGTGGAGCCGCGTACCTGGGCTGCGGCGCCGTCTAGCCCTGCGCCTGGCCGGTGTCGCAGGACTGGCGGGGTAGCCGAGCACTCGCTCTGGCGGAGGAAAAAGCTTCCCACAAGCCGCAAAGAGCCCAGCCTCCAACGACCCCTCCGACGAGGAGATCCTGGCTGGCGACCCCAGGTTTGCTGTAGTGTTTCCCTAAATCCGCAGGGCAAGGAGGGCGTCGAGCATACGGAGCTCAGAGGAAGCGACCGCGGATGCCCCCGCTGGGAAGGGTGCGTTTGGCCTCTTGCAGAGGCTGCGGGGGACAGTGAGGGGCCCAGGGTGAGTGAGGAAGGGGCTGCCGGGCCCCGCCGCGGCTCCCTCCTCGCCCCGACTCCCCCCGACGATTCCCCGCTCTAGGAGAGCGGCTTCAGCCGCGAGACAGAGCCAGAGGTCTTGGAAGCCGAGGCCCCGGTGCACTAGGCACAGCGCTCGGAGCCCCGTGAGGACCCTGGGCCTGGCCCTGATCCTCTGTTGCCCGGGCTCACCTTGGAGACCCGCTTGGGGCGGGAGAGGCATCCGGGTTTCTGCGGGTTCCCAACGGAGCAGTGGGAGCCAGAGGACGAGGCAGAGGAGGCGCTGGAGCGGGACCTGGAGCTGAGCCTCAGGCTCTGCCTGGAGGTGCCGCCTGTCCCTGATGCTGGGCGCAGGAGCCTGGGGGCTGGCCTGGAGGACACGGAGGACCTGGCCTGGTTGCAGTGAGCGTGTGGTTCCAAATCTGCCATCCCAAGAATCGAGGCCCCAGACCACATGTTCTCGTATTCCCCCCCGTTGTTGCTGGCTGTGGTAGAGCTGGTTCCCATTCATAACGACCCTGCGTACAACAGAACCAAACACTGCCTGGTCCATATCCCACCCAACACCCAATATTCATAAACTGTATACACCCCTATTGAGCTCTTAGAAGGGGTTGTGCCCCCACAAAGGGTTTTCTGGTGGAAGGGGCAGTTGAGGGATGAAATCCCTGTAACTGGTATGAAGCTTCCCTCTGGGTTAGAGGGGGCCTGGTCCTGCTTGTCACACCCCACTGTGGGTAACTTACTCAACAGCCCAGCCCCTGTTTTATGGACAAGGCTCAGAGAGGTTAAATGAGCTGCCCTTGATGTCCTGCAGCCAGTGGCAGAGCTAACCCAGACCTCCTCCACCCCCCAACTTCACCCTGCTGTCCCCCCAGACTGGTGTCCGACAGTTCCGTGCTGCTGTGCCTCAAGAAGAGGTTTCATCTGGATCGAATCTATGTCTGGGGTCCCTGGGGAGGGGAAGGGGCCGGAGGTGGCCTTTCCCCTGGGGACAGAGGGCTCTCCACACCACTGAAGCCCCTCCTCTTCCCCTGGGTGGGTGGTGGACCCTCTCTGCGGACCATGGAGTGGGACCAGGGTGGCAGGGCTGGGGCATATCGGAGCCCCACCTCATTTTCCATTTGCATTCCCCTGCTGTGATGAGGCCTCTGCCTTCCTCCTCAGACCTTTGGGGGGCCCCTGCTGCTCGCTCTGAACCCCCGCCGGCCCCTGCCTCTCTTCACGCCTGAGGTCCTGGCCAGCTACCACCCTGGAAAGGCCCCCAACACCACCCCGTATGTGACCTTTCCCCGCAGACCCTCGCTCACCGCCTGGGTTGCTGGGCCCCAACATGTCCCATTGACCGACATCCCGGGACCCTTGGGGTACGTCCTGCCTACACCTAGAGCTGGCAGAGGGCCCCAGATGCCCAGCTCTGGCACCTTCTCATCTGCCTGTTCTCCCCGCAGACACATCTTTGCTATTGCAGAAGCAGCCCACGACCCGTCTCAGAGGGCCAGGCAGGAAGCGTGCATCCTCAAGTGAGTGCGGCTGCCTCCCTGGCCCTGTACCTGCAATGGGCTTGAACACCTGGCATGGGTGCCCACAGGCCACACTGTGGGACAGGCAAGGAGGGGACCTGAGGTCTGCATTCAAAAGTGCTGGACTGGTTTGCTGGAGGGTGGCAGCTCTGGGCTGCATAAGAGCTAAAGTTGCCACGTGTGCCCCTGGAACGTGGCATCTTGGGACCTTTTTTCTGTTGGGCCCCCAGGCCCCCAGCCTATCTTTCCATATTACTGGGGGCCTCCTCCAGGGTCGGTATCACTTCCAGGTGGGCACATCCCTGCTTCCCAGGCTCAATGAGGTGGTATGTTGGGCCCCTTCCTGGAGACCCTACCAGTTTCGGCCCTAATCCTCAGCCTCTCGCTCCTGCAGTGGGCACAGCGGCTCAGGGAAGAAGACCAAAGCTACCAGACAGATTATGCAGTTCCTGAGCAGCCTGGAGCAGATGAGGGCCTGAGGGTGCCAGGTGAGGGCAGGCTGGGGGTGCCTCCTGGGCTGTGCAGAGCCATTTCCCTGGGATCCGGGGGGAGCTGTTCTTTGAGTCAGGAGGAGGATGCTCTTTAGGCCTCTGGCTTCTGGGGGGCAGGGTAGAGTGGGGCTCTCCTGATGAGACTGACCTCCTTCGCAGACCCAGAACAGCCCCCCAGGCATAGAGTGCTCTCAGCTGGGATGGCCGATTCGGTGTACCATGGCTGCTCCCAGGGGTACACGAATGACCCCACACACAGCTGGAGGACGTGCTGCCCATGCTCAGCAGCTTCGGCCACGCCAAGACCGTCCTCAATGCCAACCCAGCCACTTTGGCCAGGTCTCATGCATCTTCATGCAGCAGTGAGTGGCGGGGGTCCAGGTGGGCACAGGGGCACCCATGGTCACTTGGCTCAGCTGGGAACCTTAGGCTGCTGCCCCTGGGGCCAGGCCATGGTGGGTCCCCTTCTGAGTGGGGCCCCTGGGTGGCACACAGCCCGGGCACCCCCCACCCCGTCTCCTGTGCCCACAGCGTGGTCATCGTAGGTGCGTCCTGTCACATTATCTGCTTGAGACCTCAAGGGTGGCGTTTCAGGTAGGACCCACGCTACTTCCCACCCCCTTCCAGCTCCCAAAGTGAGAAAAAGAGAGGGCCCACTGTAGGGGGTCCTGGCCCCTAAGCCCCCAGGCCTGCCTTCCCCGGGCCTTGTCCTTGCTCCCCTAGGGTGCAAGGCGAGGCCACTGTTCCCGCTAAGCCAGCCCTTCTTCCCAAGGCCCAGGCTGAGCAGAGCTTCCATGTCTTTTATGAGCTGCTGGCGGGGCTGGACCCCCAGGAGCGGGAGCAGCTCTCCCTGCAGGAACCAGAGACTTACTACTACCTCAACCACATGGGTGGGTCGACACGGAGAGGGGCTGGGCTCCCGGCCCTGGAGAAGCCAGAGAAGGGTGGCCCTGCCCCTCACCCTGCTGTGCTCTGCAGGGCCGGGCCTGCAGGCTCCTGGGCAAGGAGGATGCCCAGGACTTCGAGGGGCTGGTGAAGGCCCTGCAGGCTCTGGGCTTGTGCCCCGAGGAGCTGCCCACAGTCTGGGCCATGCTGGCCACCATCCTGCAGCTGGGCAACATCTGCTTCTCCTCTTCAGAGGTGGGCGCCCCTGTGGACAGGGCCAGGGGGGTGCTGGCTCGGCAGTGGCTTGTTAGTTAGAGCAGTATGATGATGCCAAACCCTTGTGTATCAGGAGCAGATGAGGGATTGCGCCCTGGGCTGCTCGGGGCCTCAGGACTGCCCTGGACAGCAGGCAGGTCCCCATTGTAGAGATGGGAAAACTGAGACCTGGATCTTCCAACTCTATCCCCACACCTGTCGCACTAAGTACCAGGTGCCGTGTAAATCATTTTACCTGTGTTTTCTATTTGTCAAGACAGCACTGTAACACGAGCGTTGTTGCTTTGCCTGTAGTGATAAAGACATGGGGCTCAGGAAGGGAAAGAGGCTTTCAAAGCCGACTAGCTAGTAAAGAGATGAAGTCAGGACTCACACTCAGACTCCAGGGCTCACCAGAGAGAAGCCTCCAGGGTTCCTGGGCCCCACCTGGCAGCATGGGTACCAGAGAAAGAAGCAGGGCCCCTGCTTGGAGATAAAGTCCAGGCTCTTACCTGCCTGGTCTCACCTGGCGCTGTTGCCCTTACCCCTTCTCTGCCCAGCAGGAGTCCCAGGAAGTGGCTGCCGTGTCCAACTGGGCAGAGATCCACATGGCATCTCGGCCGCTGCGGGTGCCGCCTGACCACCTAGAGCGCACTGTCACCCAGAGGGTCCTGCTGAGCCTGAGGGTACGGGCAGGCGGGCCAACCCAGACACCCGCGGGCTTGGTGAGCACCCATGTGTGCCACGAGCTGTACACACCCACACACGGCTGCTCTGCCCTCCAGGTGACGCCCTGTGGCCGGGTCTCGCGATCCCTGCCCACAGAGAGTGCCATTGATGCCAGGTGGCGGTCAGCCTGGGGACAGGAGGAGTGAGCAGAGCCCTGGTGCTGTGCTCCCTGCGGCGGCTCACTCACAGTGCCCATAGGGACACCCTGGCCAAGGCCCTGTACTCGCGGCTCTTTGACTGGCTCCTGAAAAGGACCCACGTGCAGCTGGCACCACCCAGGGAGGGAGGCAGCATGGGCACCATCACTGTGGTGGACGTCTACGGCTTTGAGGTCACCCCTGGCCTGGGCCCAGAGACCTGGCTGGGTGGCACAGGACGGGGGACCCTCCTCATGCTGGTGTATTTTGGGGGACCCCAGAAGCTCCAGCTCTCCTTGTGGGGACACTTGTGGCCACTTGCCTCTCTGGGGTGATGGCTGGGCTGAGTTGGCGCCAGGGTTGGGGACGGGGGGAGGGTGGTACAGAGACGGAGAGGAAAGAAGCAGGCCCCCCCAGGGACTGTGCAGTCTAGGTGAGGAGCCAGCCTGTCAGAGAACGTGGCATTCCCCCCGTTACCTCCAGCTGCGGGTTGCCGAGAGGAGAATGTTCCCAGCCTATGTACGCCTATGTTCATTTCCAAGCAGGGCCCCTGCTTCCTCCTCTGGTACCAGGGCTGGCCAGCCTGGGGTCCGGGAGCACTAGAGCCTTCTCTGGTGAGGGCAGGAGCCCACCCTGAGCCCCCGCCTCAGCCCCTGATGTCCTCCCTGGCACAGCAGGTGAGAGAGAGCAGGGGCCCTGGACGCCCCAAAGCTTCCGGGCCACAGTCCTGCCACTCACCAGCTGTGTGGCATTGGGCGAGTTAATTAACCTCTCTGCAGTCCGGTGCTCCCATCTGTAAAGTGGGATCATACCAGGACCTACCTCCTGGGTGGCGGAAGGCTGAAAGGAGATGGACCAGGAGACAGCTGAGCACCTCTCTGCCCTGCTGTGTCTATCCTGACACGGGCTCCGGGCAGCCCTGCCCTGCAGAGATTCCAGGAGCCTCAAAGGCAGCAGAAGACAGGATGGGTCCCCCACAGCCCTGCCTCCCGCGCACTGCTAGGAGAGGGAGGAGGGAGAATGCCCCAAATCTCTTGAGTGCTTGTAGGCTCTTCCCCACTTTCCAAAAGGTGGCGCCTCCTCAGGGGAGGGAGGATGGCCTGGAAGTGGCCCCTGGGTGGGCACTGTCCACCATCTCCTGCCCCGTTCTGCTCTTCACAGTGTGTCCTCAGTGATCATGAGCCCTCCCTGAGGAGGGAGGTGACTGTGGCAAGTGTGTCGTGTGTGTGTGTCTGTGTGTCTGTGTGTGCGCGCGCACACGCATGCATTTTAGAGGCATCAAAACTCTCTGTACAAAGCTGCCTGAAGCAGGGGCTCATGGGGCTTACCCAGAAAGTGCTGGGAGGACCAAAGGAAAGATCTGTAATCCCTAGGGGAGGAATGCCAGAAGGCTTCCTGGAGGAGGCGGTCTGGAGTCCTGCTTATGAGGATGAGGTAGTAGGAAAAGGGGCCTTCCAGACCACAGGATGCCCGTGACCAGAGGCCCGAAGGCTCACAATTGTGCTGAAGCAGAGGCAGGGTGTGGGCTGCAAGAAGGAGGCCCGAAGTGTGGCCAGTGCAGGGCGGGGGCCTTGACCCTGTTGGTTGCAGCACCTGCCCTGGGAACGACCCCTCCCTGAGCCTGCAGGAGGAGAATGGGGCAGCCCCTATAGGAGGGGAACGAAGGGCACCAGGCCTGTGTGCCTGTCCTCCAGCCCTGCCCTGGATCCCTGCCTCACTGGCATGCTCACCTCACTGCCTATGTGCCCCCAGATGCTGCAGGTGAACAGCCTGGAGCAGCTGTGCAGCAACCTGGAGAGCGAGCGCCTGCAGCACTTCTCCAGCCAGACACTGCTGGCTCAGGAGAAGGTACGGGGGGCTGGATGGCATGGATGTGGGTGGGGGACGCCCTGGTGCTGCCCAGAGCAGAGGCCGTCCTTGGTTAAGAGAGCACTGAACTGAGAGCTCTTTCTCGAAGACCCCTTGCTGTGGGTATCCTTCTGAACCTCAGTTTGCTCATCTGTAAAATGGGAGCATCCTCCCTGCTCTGGCTCAGTCGCGGGCCCCACGAATGTGGACGGCTCTGTCAAGGCCAAGTGCTGGCTGTCCCAGGAGGAGTGTCGGCAGGAGTTGCTGTCCTGGGTGCCCGTCCCCCAGACTCCACGGGAGTCCTCCCTGGACCTCTTCGCAGGCCAGCCGTACAGCCTCCTGACTAAGCTGGATGCCCAGACGTGGCTGCCCCAGGTGAGGGCCGGGGCAATGACCCCCCAAGTGGTGGGGAGAGGATGGCCAGCAGGGCCTCCCAGGGTGGCTGCAAGGTTATAGGACCCAGAGACCCTGCCCACAGCCCCTCAGCCCAGCCCGGGAAGGCAGCGGCCCAGGGGAGAGAACCCTGGGCTCCTGCAGACCTGATTCAAAGCCTGTCTCTGGATGATTGTGGGCAAGATACCTGGCATCTCTGGCTGCAGATGGGGGACAGTGAGACAGTGGTACCTGATGGGCAGGGTGGTCCTAGAGCGGATGCCTTCTCATTGTGGTCAGGCGCCACTCGGGCCTCTAGCCAGTAGGGGGCAGCAGACTCAGGACCGTGGTGCATCCATTCCATCTGCCCCTCTATCTAAATGGCTCCCTCAGTTACTCTGTAGCCTCTCCTTACTTTATATGTTTAGAGCGCTCATGTCCATGTGCAATTACTTTGTACATTTATTCACTCTTTCCCCTGAGCTACACGGGGCTCCATTAGGGCTGCATCCTTGTCTGAGAGGGTCACACTCTATCCGGGGCGCCTGCCACATGTTAAGGATTCACTGGATACGTATTGGATGAATGAATGAATGAGTGAATGAATGAATGTGTGCCAGGACTGTGCTAGGGATAAAAGGGTGAGCAAAAGTAGACCCAGCCCCTCCCCTCTCAGAGCTCAGGATATAGGAGGAGAGAGAGATTAATAAATCACAGAAACAAATAGAAAATCACATGTGGTGTGGGGTGGGTGGGTGGGGGCGTGGGGCTTGGGCCTCCCGTGGGAGCTGAGGCTGAGCTTCTGCTCTGTTGAGACCAAGCAAAGCAGGAGTTTCTCTATAAACTAAATATACCATGACCCCGAATATAAGGTGACCCCCAATTTTTTCAATTAAACCAAAAAAACCAAACCCGTTGCCATTGCGTCGATTCCAGCTCATAGCAACCCTACAATTAGAGGCTGAAAATGATAGGATTTTGACCAGAGGGTATCAAACATGTGTAATGACGATATTTCATTTATTAATATAGTTAAAAAAAAAAAAGGTGGTCATCGAGTCATCTCCCACTCATGGTGACCCCACGTGTGTCAGAGTAGAACTGTGCTCCATAGGGTTTTCATGGCTGATTTTTTGTAAGTAGATTGCCAGGCCTTTCTTCCAAGGCACCTCTAGGTGGACTCAAACCTCCAACTGTTCAGTTAACAACCAAGTGCATTAACCCTGGGTTTGCACCACCCAGGGACTCCATTAATTTAGTTACTCATACACATATGAAATCCCTTCTGGATAACACAATGTGTTAATTTGTAAATCACTGCTTTTCCTAGCCTCACAGTTCATAAAATTTCACTAAAACGTTTCCACAGACATCCTTGATGTACCAGAGACACTTTTTGAGTCATCCAACGTGGTTTTCCAGGGATCAGCACCATCACTTAAGTCTAAGTTATTTGAAATGTAGGGCTGTTTGAGTCCATGCTGGGTGCTGCGCCAAGCCACAAGTTCCCATAGTTAACACTGGGGCAGGTTGCTTCCCTTGTGCATTTTGTTATTATACCCATTGCCCTCGAGTCAATTCTGACTCTCGCGATCCTACAGGACAGAGTAGAACTGCCCCATAGGGTTTCCAAGGAGTGGCTGGTGGCTTCAAATAACCTCTTATTGGATTGCTTTTAAAAAGTGATCTTTTGAAACACTTGTTTATAAACACTAGAAATAACTGCTAAATCTAAAAGTCCCCCCGCCGCCACCTTCTTCGTTTTTACTGTGGTAAATATGTATGTAACAAAACATTTGCCATTTCAATAATCTTCACACGTACAATTCAGTGACATTAATTAATGTTCATCATGTTGTACAACCATCACCCTTACTTGTTTCCAAATTTTTCCATCACCTTAACATCCCCCCTCCCTGGTGGCGCAGCACAAATGAAAGGTCAGTGGTTCGAACCCACCAGCTGCTCCACGGGAGAAAGATGTGGCAGTCTCTTCTGTACAACCTTGGAAACCCTATGGGGCAGTTCTACTTTGTCCTGTAGGGTCATTATGAGTCGGAATTGACTCGCTGGCTACAGGTTTCCCTTCTTTTATACAATTTTTATCAGGGGTCCTCTATAAGCCACCCAATCTAGTATTGACTGAGGTGGTTTCTGTGTCTGAGGCTGCTGTGTCTTTCTCAAATAGTGTGTGGTTGTTCGAAATAAAGCCACTGAGGAAGACTGCACACCCCTTTTAAGGACTCAAATACAGAGTGACTCTTCCTCTCTGAGGAATAACTCTTTTGAGAAAAAACAGAAACACCTCACCTTACGTTAAAGTATATACGGTACCTGGGGCCCCTGGGAGGGAAGCCCAGTCCAGCTAGGGAACATGGAGTGCGGAGGCCTGAGGGAAGCTGTCCATCCTATCAGGCCACGGACCACACCTTCCTCCAGAAGTGCCACTATCACCATGGTGACCACCCGACCCCAAGCCCCAGCTGCCCCTGCCCATCTTCACTGTGCAGCATTACGCTGGGACTGTCACATACCAGGTATCTGTCACCTCAGGGAGAATCAGTGAAGGGGTGATGTGACCCTGCTCTTCCCTCCTCAAGCAGAGTCACCTGAACAGGTGAGAGGAGTGGGTGAGGGGAGGCCCCTTCCAAGGCTTGGCTATTTGTCCCTACCTGGTGGCCCTACCCGGTTCCGACCATGATTTCCTGCATTCTGGGTGAGTGGGGGAAGGGGAGTTGAGGTCTTGGGACCCTCCACCCAAGAGGGGCAGAGCACAAGCATGGGACCTGGTTCTGATAACCTCGAGCAGTTTACTTCACCTACTGAGCCTCCACTGTCTCATTTGTGAAATGAAAACTACCTTGCAGTGTTGTTGTGAAGGATAAATGCAATAACATGCAAATGGCCTGGTGCGTGGCTGGCACATAGTAGGTGCTTACTGAATAGACTTTCCTTCCCCCCTCTTGAGTTCTGTGTCTACTGGGGAGGCTGGGTACATACCCCCAGAGGAGAACTGCTGAGGGGAGGATCCCGGTATAAAGGGTAGAAATCTGTGACTGGTTTGAGGTGGGGTCAGTCAGGTCAGGCTCCCTGGAAGAGGTGGTACACTCTAGCTGTAGAACAAAAACTACAACTACCCAGGAGTTCCCTGAACAAGGCAGGAGTTTGAATAAAGACAACTATGAAATTGTATTGAAAGTCACAAAAGCTGATTTAAAAATGGAGACAAAGCACCTTCTGGTTGGGAGCCTTAATATTGTCAGTTCTTTCCCAGTTAATCTAGAAAAGTAATAGAATTCCAATCAATACCCCAGTGGTAATTTTATGGGAGGAGGGGGAATGGGTTTTGACGACATTATTCTGAAGTTGTATCTGGAGAAGAAATGCATCAGAATACTCAATAAAATACTGAAAAATCAGAAGATTAAGGAGGAATTTGCACTACCAGATATTAAAACATATTTTCAAGCTCCAGTAATTAGAAAAGTATGGCATTGACAAGGAATGGGCTGATCAGTGGAATGAAATTGAAGATCCAATAACAGACCCACAGGTATATAGAGGGATGGAATACATGACAAAGGTGGCCTTCGAACCGGTGGGAAAGGATGGACTATTGGACAAAGGCGCGGCCTCCAAACCCAGTCTTCTTTTCTTGGCTCTCCCCCTCCTCCCCACATCATCTCTTGCAGGTTCACAAGTTCTTAAACAGAAATCAAGATTATCTTGACCCTGCCGTGGTGGAAATGCTTAACCAGAGCCAGCTCCAGGTGGCCTGCCAGCCTTCCTGGGCCCCCAACCACTCTACACCCTGTCTGCTGACTGTCCTCCTCCCCTGGACACTCTTGCCCTTGCCCAAGGGGCTCACCCGCAAGTCCCTGGCACTTCGGACCAGCTCCCAGGGCCAGTGGGGGTGGGGGGCAGGCCGGACTATGGGCCCACCCCCTCTAATCCACAGCTGGTAAGCAGCCTGTTTTAGGAAGCAGAGCCCCAGGCTAGGGGAGGGCGCGGCAAACCCACACTGGCCTCTCGCTTCCAGCAGTCGCCGGGAGACCTCACAGCCCAGCTGCGCAGGTGAGAATAGTGCCCCCCACCCAAGCCCAGGCAGTTGGATGGGGGGGCTGGCCTGTGCCCACGTGACCCCTCCCTTCCACCCACCAGGAGCCATGTCTATTTCATCCAATGCCTCAACCCCAACCCCGGAAAGGTGAGCTTCCCAGCACCTGACCCCAGGTTGGGGCGGGCCCTGCTCCTTTCCCAGAGCCTCCACCTCTGCCCTGCCCTTGTCTCCCCCCTCACCCCTCCTTTGTGTCCTGCCCTGCATCCCCACAGCCATAAGCCCTTGAACCCAACCCTGACTCCCACTCTCCTTGGCCCTGTCCCCACCGCCCAGCTTCCAGGCCTCTTTGACGTAGGACACGTGGCTGAGCAGCTGCGCCAGGCAGGCACCCTGGAGGCCATACGTACCAAAGCACTAACTTCCCTGTGCGTGTGCCCTTCAAGGCCCTCCTGGCCAGGTAGGGACCGAGGACAGGGCGGCCCAGGCACCTCGGGGTCAGGACTGACAAGGAGGCCCCCTGCAGCAACCACAGAGCCTGGGGTTCCTTCAGGTGGACATGGACCCTGGGCCTGGCCTCCAGTCCTCCTCCCATCACCCAGCACCCCCTGCTCCCTGGTTTCAGTCCTCTTTCTCTCCACCTCTCTCTCCTTTCACTGTTCATCACCCCCTTGCTCCCACAAGCATTTATTTAGCGCCCACCGTGTTTCGGGGTGTGCTAGGCATTGAGGAGACTGCAGTGAACAAACCTGAAGCCAGGTTCCCCATCTTCCCATTTCTCTGCCCCCTCTCCTGGCACTGTGTTCTCACAACCCATCTCTTCCTCTGAGCCCCAGGAGGGCAGGAGCCTCGCCTGCTGAGGGCCCTGCACATGTAGGCACTTAAAACCCACTGTTGAGTGACTTAAAAAAAACCCATTGATGTTGAGTCAATTCCGACCCATAGCAACCCTGCAGGACAGAATAGAACTGCCACATAGGGTTTCCAAGGCTGTGATCTTTATGGAAGCAGATTGCCCCATCTTTTTGCCGAAGAGTGGCTGGTGGGTTTGAACTGCCGATCTTAAGGTTAGCAGCCAAGTGCTTAACCATTGCGCCACCAGGGCTCCTCGTTGAGTGACTTAGAGAATGCATAACCGCCAGAGGCTCAGAGTATCAAACTGCCAGCGTGACCTCCGCCCTCCCTCCCTGGGCAGGTTCTGGTCCCTGGGCCCAGAGGGGCAGGGAGAGCCCTCTGAGCGGGAAAGGTGCAGCGCCATCCTGAGCCAGGTGCTGGGAGCTGAGTCGCCCCTCTATCACCTGGGAGGCACCAAGGTGGGTGCATGTGTCCATGTGTGATGGGGACACACAGGTGGACAGGAGACAAACATTCTGAAACAAACTGGGACCAACTCTGGCCTCGGCAGGCGCCTCCTGGGTTGTGGGGAGGTGGGAGAAGGTGGGCGGAGGCACCCCCATTGCGCTCTGCCCACAGGTTCTGCTGCGGGAGCAGGGCTGGCAGCAGCTGGAGCAGCACCGGACCGAGCAACACGCCCAGGACCTGCTCACCCTGCACTGTGGCCTTCATGTTTGCATCTCCCGCCAGCGCCTCCGCCTCCTGCCCCGGATACAGGCTCGCATGCGTGGGCTCCAGGCCAGGTCCACAGGCGCAGGAAGGAGCCTTGGGTTCAAGGGGGTGGGGTGAGGCTGGGGCTTCTCCTGAAGGTGGTGGGGCAGGGTCGGGGAGATGTGAGGTGTCAGAGCAAGCCCCCGTGCCCACCTCATGAGCGCTCGACCTCTCCTTGACAGCATCCCTGCCCATACCCATGTGGCCTCTGCTTGCACACCCCCAGTCACAAGAAGCTCATTACCTGTCCAGGCTGCCCAAACCTGCAATCTTGATTCCTTGAATGCTCTCTTTTCTAGTCTGTTCTCCACTCTACAGCAAGAACGATTTTTTAAAAGCATGAATCAGGTTGTGTAACTGGCCTGGCCTATAAGGCTCTGTCTACCTCTCCAACTCCCATGTAAGCCAGACTTTTTCCACCCCAGCTTCCTTTGAACTTCTATCAGTTCCTCAGACCCACTATGCTCCCTCATGTTTTCTGGTCTTTCAACATGTGGTTCCCCCTGCCTGTGAGGCTCCTCTGCCCCTCTCCACCCAATCGACTCCTACTCACTCTTCACGGCTTATCTTCACGCCTTCATCCAAAACTGTTGGTTTGACCATCTCCTCCATCTACCCTGGGTCAGACACTGGTGACAGGGATGAAGAAGGCAGAGATGGTGCCTCCCAGGCTAGCTGGGGAGTCAGATTCGGACCTTTCAAATTAGTAGAACTTATACTATATCATATTTTTATGTAAATACTGTGCTTGTTCTACGTGTATTTTGCCAACTGCACCCACCCTGCTGCGAGGTATTTTTGTAAGCACTCTATACTAATTTTTTAAAAAGTTTAATTATTAACACATTTAT